TAAAAGTAAACAGGTGGGGGTACAACTTACTCCTATTTAGGTCACAAGTTTAGTATGCCACAGATAAGGACTGGCACAAAAATCAATACGACCATTCACAGCTGTACCGTCACGCCCTGAACAGCACACAGAGGCTCATTTATCCTACAGCGTAAGATGTTGTTTACTAGCAGAGTTTCACAGGAACAACTTTTCACTTCTCTTATAAGTTTCGATCTGACCTTTCCAGACATTTCTGTAATTACATTTCCTGTAAATAGTATCTCCTGCCTTGAACCGGACTCATAATATTAGTTTTACTTGTGGCACTAAGCTATTTCTGTATCAATGATCCAGCGATAAACAACATGATATACTAACTGGATTCTCTTAAATGTAATCTGAAGTGCATTGATTTTCTGTCCAACTAAAAAAGCAAAAAATGTCAGGTTTCCTGAACACTTCCCCTGTCTGTCATTGGTCAGAGGGTGACTGTGAAGACAGTTGGCTTGACCGAGAAGAGAAAACCACCAGCAGATGCAGAATTTGGTTAACATGAGATCCTGTAACAGAGGAGTTATTCTTTATTGCCAATTCCATTACTTTGTCTAGTTTTAAGAGAGCAGAAGCGTTCAAAGAATATGAAGTCCTATGAGAAATCATTTATTAGGCTAATATTAGGCCTGTCGCAATAATCAATATATCGACTTATCGCACAATATATGTACATGACCTCAATCATTTTTGGTGACGCAATATATCGCCCATTTCATTTACTTAAAAATTAATGTCACCATGTTTTTTTTTGCATTCCACTTGCGCCTGTGTCTTTTGCAGCTTCTCGTACATAACTCGTCATGAGGTGCTAGTTCAAATTTAAAAAATGCTTCTACAAACAAAGTTTAATCTGCAGATATGCCTTTGTGCATACGGACATCTGACTGCTAAGTAGGGATTGTGTTTTTTTAGCAATACAGTGCACCCTTAATTTACAGAGAAAAGGTCTGGGAAAAATCTGTAGATGGAAAATCTCCATACAAATTCTTTGTGCATTTGTCTTTTTTCTACTAGAAAATGTTTATTTAGTATTTATTCAGGTTTTTTAAGGGAACTAATATTTTGACACTTAATTTCCATCATCTAAATATTCTTAAAAAGTAAAAGTTTGTTGTCATTTGGAAGTGTGTAGGCCTTCTTGAATTATTATGCTGTTACATTATGATTATATATTCAGTGGCATAAAATGGTTTTTAAAATGACAATAATATTGCTTATCGCAATTATTTCTGGGGCAATATATCGCACAACAAAAAGTTGTTATCGTGACAGGCCTAGCTAATATTATTAAAACTATTATTAATAAAAATGAAAAGAGGGACCAGAATAATAGAGACTTAAGGGTGAACTCTTTTGACCCAGAACCAGAAGTTTCTTGAGCACTAAATCAGCATATTAGATTGATTTCTGAAGATCACGTGACACTGAATACTGGAGTAATGATGCTGAAATTTCAGCTTTGCATCACAGGAATGAATTACATTTTAAAATATATTTTATATTATATATTTTTTTACTGTATTTTACTGTATTGAGACACTCAAAAACAATAAAAAAAAATGTACTCACCCCAAACTTTTGAATGGTAGTGTATTTTTCTGAAAATTTATTTTTTTTGAAAATTTGAACTAATTGATAAACGGTCTACAGTTATTATTAAAAGCCCTGCAGTTTTGACTGTTAAATACATTTGCAAAATTAAAGAGTATGTCATTCTGTTATTTAAGACTTGATTTAGAAATTATATTTAAGATTTTTTATATTTAAGATATATTTCAAATATATTTAATAGTGATTATTAAACCCAACAAAAACAAGTAGTATTTTATTTATTTAGTCATTTATTAGACGCTTTTATCCAAAGCGATTTACAAATGAGGACAACAGAAGCTTTAATTTTTAATTATTAATAATAATAATAATAATAAAACCCAAATGTTTAAGCCAAATGGATACAAAAAAGTCAGTGCGAAACTGGGAAAACAATTACAAAATTAAAAAAAAATGTAATTAATGAAAGAAAGTTATTTTATGCCGTTTTTTTTTTTTTGCAGGTAAATCTAGGATTTTAAAAAATGTTTTGCAGGTAAATTAGAGAAAAGTAAACAGGTTCTTGAGAACATTTGATCACATTCATACACAGCTGCCAGTTATAATATCACGGTGTTAATATTCAAAAGCATATTTGCACAGTAACTGGCAGGGATCGCGAACATCTTGTTCAGTATCTCGCAAGACTAAAAGCATTTCAAATGCCAGAGATGCTGCTTCCTGTGGACTCTGGACATAAAGTTCAGTTCTAAGGTTAAGTTGCTTCAACACGGTGAAATCTATACAGTACAAGAATGATGGCACAACAGGCATCACCAACTAAAGATTTAAGCGTGTGTGACATTAAAGCGAGACGTATAATAGCAGGGTTTTCTAGGCCCGTAGAGAACAACACTGTGTACTATGATGCTACGCAGCGGAACGCCAATCAAAACAGATCAATTGCATGTAGAAATCTTAAAGGAATAGCAGCAAAACAGCCTGTTTCATTTTATGATCCGAAAGAGGGTAGAAAATAAACTATGACTGCATTTGGTGCAAGAAACCTGGACTAACATTATAAGAGGATTTCAGACTAATGTTTTATGGTAGCATCATTTATTTCTGTGTAATCAAAAATATCGAAAAATGAACTGATCTTGAACATATTGTTTATAGAATAAAAACGTTTATATTAAAAAATATACCTTGGAGTTGTAGAGGATGTGTATTGTTCGATATGTTGAGTTATGTTCATGTGGGAGATGTTGTTTCGAGTCTGGGCTGTCATGGTCCTAACCCGTTCATGTTTACTCCCCTCATCTTCACTCTGATAAAAAATAATAATAATTGTTGAAATAGCACAAATTTAAATAATAATCATGTTTACATAACACTTTACGAAAAACAGATATATGCAAATGCAACATGTAATAACAAATGTACAAAAAATAAATAATAGTAAATAATAACAAATGAATATTAATTATAAATAAATATCATTTTTATTAAAAACAAAAAATAATAAATATATAAATATAAAATGAATATATGCATGAGAGAAATGAGAAATTCATATATAAATAGTATACATTTACGGTAATAAAATATGACTAAACAATGTTCAGAAATGTTCTGTATTAATCAAAATGTTATGTATTAATGTATTTTTTGTAAATTTGATAAAATATTTATAAAAAATAAATAAATAAATTGCACCAAATAATAATCTTTACAAAGCACTTCGGAGAAAACATATGCAAATGCAACATTATATATATTCATTATAAAATATATAAACTAAAAAAAATAAAATAATAATAATAATATATATATATATATATATATATATAGACTACTTACATAGTAATTTATATAGTATTTATTATAAAACACTTTACAGAGAGACAACTATATAATTTTCTCTATATAGATGTTGGGCTCTTTATTTTGGAATTAAAGTTAATCAAGGCTTCCCTCTAGTGGTCATTCTTTATAACAACATATTTGGTAGTGGAGAAAGAGAAATACAAATGACTTTGCTGCAATGTTAATCAACAAGAGCAGCATTTTACAATGGTCTGTAGCTTATAAAAACTTCAAAGGTAAAGTTTTACAGTTCATCGCTGTTATTATTCATCACATCAATTTCCAACAGATTTGATCAATATTGTCTAATAATGCATAGAATATTGTGTTTGCACATGATTTGTTGTTTTGTAAGGGCCTTATGTAATGTTTCAGTATCATATGCATGACTAATGTCAAGTCACATTTCACCTATTTACCTTTAATACCTTGTTAGACAGCAGATATAAAGGCCAAAACACACAGCAGGTGAGACAGTCAGCATTGTGTAGGGTTTGTTTGTGTGTGTGTGTGCACAGTGTTCACAGGGCAGACGGGTGGAATGCTAATACTTGAGTGGAAAACCCATGTGCCCGTACAAGGAGAGCTGCGAGAGCGCTACCAAAAACAGCCTCAATAATGTAAACAGAGACAGAGGCTGTCTTTCAGTTCAGCAAAGCCTGACTGTTATGATGAAGAATGCTTATTTAATGTGCAACGAGCAGATGGCATCAGATATGTCTTGGAGACAATGTTCATCTGTCCTTATCATGCATTCAAGCAATACATTTGAGGAAGTCTGAATCAGTCTTAAGAGACCTGTTGTTGTTTGGCCAACCCTCTTTTTCTCTCTCTCTCTCCATCTCCATCACTCTATTTTTCTTGATCACTTTCTCTCTGCTTTCTGTGCCTGCTCTCCTGTTGTCCTTTATCTCTTTCAAAAGCCACTTTTCCTCTGTAAAGCATGTGGGCGTTCAAGGTCATCAGTGTAAAATGAATGTGATTTTCGATTAAAGAGAGAGCAGAGAGGCTGTTGGGAGTTTGGTGACGTGAACAGAAACGGTTGCCTTCCAGATTTTCACAGCAGCAATCAGCAGGTAATTGAGCTTTTGCTCAGATCTCTTTTCTAAAGGGTGTTTTGGGGAGAATTTCACTGATTATTGATCTCATTTCAATGATGAATATTCCTTCATGTGTAGATATGTCAAGCACAACCATGCTTGTATAATTGCACTAGTCAAAAGAGAGCCGTTTTTGGTAAAAACATGAAGTTGTGCTAATAGTGCCTTTTTATTTCAAAGAAAATCAAACATCAGGGAGAGTGTTTGAAACTGTTTTCCCATCAAAAGAAAATCTGTCAAAACTCATTGCTAGTCATTGAAATCTCCAAAAGGAATCAGAATTTGGCATTTGCATGTATTGAAAAGCATTTTCTTGAGCGCCTGTTGATGTAGAGGACAAGCAAAATGTGTTGCTTCAGGCTTAAAATGAATGTGCTGATGATTTGGGTACTTATTTGCATGCTCATATTAGTGCTGTGTGTGTTTGTGTATGTAGTACGCAGATCACACTTACCCTGCGTTACTATGCCTCTGTTGAGAGATCTTCGGAAGAAAGATGACATCAATGCTGTTTATGAGCTGAAAGAAAAACTTGGAGAGTGAGTTTTCATATATTCAATATTTTAAAGTATTCTGAACACGTAATGACTTCAGAGTAGATTTTGACATTTTGATTTACTAAACACATTTAAAGACTTGTCGACTAGAAGCAGAAAATATTATTAAGACGACTCTGGAGACTCCTATTATTCACAACGTGCCCATGGCACACAAACGTATAATTAGCCATTAATTTAGAACAAAACTCATTACAGCTGAATTATAAATAATATAAATGTATAATGTCTCAGGGGCTCGTTCTCTGAGGTTCGAGTGGCTCAGCACAGATGCACTCAGAAGCTTGTGGCTGTCAAGTGCATCCGCAAGAGAGCGCTGAAGGGAAAAGAATCCATGCTGGAGAATGAGATCGCAGTATTACGCAGGTCAGTGAGTTCATAAAAAAAACCCGGATTGATTAAATTGCATGACTTTTTGGGTACATTTTCTTTGTTATTAAAGTACAGTGACATTTTACAGAAATCTTTTGTTTTTGTTTGTTCCTGTGATTTCTTCACAGAATAAATCATGAAAATATTGTGTCTTTGGAGGAAACCTTTGAGACTCCTTCTAATCTGTATTTGGTAATGACACTGTGAGTGGACCCGAGTGTGAAAAATGAAAATATTGTAGTAAAAAATAGTTTAGTTTCATAGGATTAGACAGAATGATAGAGCGATAGAGCGATAGATAGATAGATAGACAGACAGAACAATAGATAGGTAGATAAATAGATAGATAGACACAGACAGACAGAACGATAGATAGACAGACAGACAGACAGACAGACAGACAGACAGACAGACAGATAGATAGATAGATAGA